ATTAATTTAAATTCAAAAGTTATTAGAAAATGGTCAGACAGAAGAGGGTTATGGGGAAAAACTATTAAGTGTTCAGTTTTGATGCCATATGTCAGAACCAGATCAAGAGTGTGATTAAAACAGTGAGTGGGTTTATTTACAGTTTGAGAGAAGCCAACTGAGTCTAATAATGAACAGAATGCATTGTTGAGGCTGTCATTGTCGGCACCTACATGAATATTAAAGTCGCCTACTATGATTATTTTATCTGTACTAAGCACTAAATCAGACAGAAAGTCTGAGAATTCACTTAAAAACTCTGAATAAGGAGCAGGTGGACGGTATACAATAACAAACAGAACAGGCTTTTGAGTTTTCCAGTTTGGGTGTGAGAGACTCAGGGTGAGACTTTCAAATGAGTTATAACTATGTTTAAGTCTAGGGTTGATTAATAGGCTTGAGTCAAAGATCGCTGCCACGCCACCACCTTGGCCTGTGTTTCGAGGGATGTGACTGCAGGAAACAGCAGTCCGTCAAAGGTTCCGCCAACATATGAACCTCTTATGAAAACAGGGCAGACATTGTAATGAAATTTCAAACCTAGTTGCTGCAGCAAAAGGAAAACAGCAAAAGTCTGGGTGAAGATTAGCGTGAAGGGCAGCCTGAAGCTAAAGAATGTAGTTATGCTCTTTGATTAGCTCCTGGCAAACATCAATTCAAAAACAGCTCTTGTTAGTCACTCCTGCACAAATCTAGCATAACTTTAAATTTGTTACTGAAGTTAATTTAGGATTTAAGACATATTTTACACCTGCCTTCTTGACATCACTAAACAAAGAAAGCTCAGTTTTGTGTGTCTGTGTCAACAGCTTGATGAGAATTATTTGAATCCTGAACTTGAACGCTGGATCAGTCAAAAACTTAGGCGATAACAGTATTGCCTTTTATAATTTGGTAGCTAAAAATAAACTCAGACTATTAAACATTTGCTGGCATATTGCCCATAAGAGAGACACAATGACAAATGGTAAAATGTTGACTTAAGAGTTAAAAAAAAAAAAGTAGGGAAGTCTCATAAAGCTGATTCAGTAACATTGGCTAACATTAGCTACTGGGCACAGAAATCTAAATAAAGCTATAGCAGCAAAAACCCTGAAGGTTAAAAGGTGTATAGTGTGTAAAATTGCTTTTGAATTCAGCTTTTCATTTTCAACAGGACAAATATGTTATTTAACCTTTCAGAAAGTGTTTTGCTTTAAGCTAGACATTGCAGCTGTAATAGGGGGTGACTGTGGTTCAGTGGGCAGAGCGGTCATCTCCCAAACAGAGGGTTGGAGGTTTGGATCACAGTTCCTGCAGTCCACATGTTGAAGTGTCCTTGGGTAAGACACTGAACCCCCAAGTTGGCCCCGATGGTTAGAGCCATCGGTGTGAGTTGGCGCTGCAGATGGCTGCCTCGGTTCCATACTGCAAACAAATTTCTTGTGTGTGTAACATACTTGGCCAAATAAAGGTGATTATTATATTAAGCTTGATCCAGCAAAAGCATGACCCTTTTTTCACCTCAGATTTATTGAATTAATTGAAATTGAGTGTATCTTATAAGATAAATGTAACATTTTTATGAGAGCACTGATGTTTTATGAAGTGTACAAGTGGGCTTGTGCTGATGCAGTGTTTAAGGTCACCCTTACTTGACTATAATGAGCAAAGCACAATTTGTGGACTACTTTTGCATGACTCTATTTACTGAGTTTTGTATCGCTGGCCAAATATACAGTATGCCTTTGTGATGCTAAAAAAGAATTGAGAAGGTAGAATAGCCACTGTGTTCTGTGGAAATTAACTTTATTGATACTCACTCTCTGTCAATGACTAGACAGGTGACTGCCTCTGCTGCAATGACACTGGCCGTTCTGATGTCCTCCCTGGAGAAGAAGATCACAGAACACAATCAGACACCAAAGCAAAACTGGCACATTGGAAACATCTGTCTCTCAGTAACCTCTTATTCAAATCCATTTACTCTATAAAAGGTACTGGCAAATCATACAGACATCACTCTCAACAAGCAGTGCACATAATTGCATGATTGGCATTACTTGTTAACATATTTGACATCAAGTTCCTCTTCCTCTGATGACAAAGCTCCTTCAGAGGAGTCGCCCCAGTCACATGAATCCTCTGAGTCTGTATCCCAAGAATCCATCCCTCACCGTGAAAATGTTTGTGCACACAGTTTGTCCCACAGTGATAAGCTCCAATTCTGAACCAGCACACTGCCCAGGGCAGAACTCCAAAAGAAGACACTCCTGTAGTACTTGAATATAAATCTCCAATCCGAGTGCAGTGTTATCCACTCTGACACAGACTAAAACATTACAGAAAGACAAGAAATCCCTTGGGGGATGTCCCATAAGCAGGTTATGTCATTTCCCTTTTTTTTTTCAACAAAGAAGAAGAAGAAAAGAGATCATACTCTAGTTGAATTTAATAACCCGAGTGGGAGCAAATCAAATGCTAAGATAGAAAGAAAACTGATTCAATCCAGTTGAAGTGCTAACAGTAACTGACACTCGCTCTCTGCATCTGAACTGAACTCGTGAGTAGAAGTGACAATTCCTCATGCCATGTTAACTCTCTCTGCCTCTCTGCCTTGTCTCTTCCAAACCTCACACATGCACTCCCCCTAAAACGTGCACAGACTCGTGCACATATGCACAAACTGTCTCACTCTTTCTACTGACCCCTTTTTGAATAAAGGTCACAGCTGGTGGTGGAACAACAAATTTGAAAGGTGAGTACTACAGAGAATAGAGCAGGGTTGAGGAAGGCAGGATTTGTCAGCGGCATAGGATATATTAACAGATGACTACTGGGACCTCCTGGCTAGCATAGCACGTACAGTGTTTCATTCACCTCTGATGGCTCCTATGACCTGCAGTCATGCTCTTACAACAATCCACTGGCAAACCCTACCCCACCTGTTCTTCTGTTGTACCCAAAACAGCATTCAGTACAACTTGCTTAAGTACACTTACAGTATTAATCATCATCATCCTTTATTAGCAGACTCAAGGTCCATACAAAAAAGAAATAAAAGAAAAAGCAAGGATATAAAAGAAGAAAAATAAATAAATAAAAATCATAAAAGACATTTATACCAATGTTTCCACAGAGAGGATTGGTAACGTACTACACTAAAACCAGGATTAGCCAGCATCATTATAACCAGGTTAATGGGTGAAAGAACAGCTAGTGTAGTTTGGATGAAGACAATGTGCTACACTATTGTTGTTAGGATTTATTATGAGATAGCTTATTTTGGGAACAGAAAGTCACACTCAGTAAGAATAAGCTCTCAGCAATTCACATTGCACAGGTCTGTTACGCTGTATAATTTAACTTGAGTCACAGATTATCATGACATGATGAGTGATATAAAGAGTCATAAAGGGAAGTATGAGAGCTCTCATAATATAAGTTGAAGCTGATTATTCAAATAGTTACAAACTGAATAGGGAGCCAGTACTGTTCAGGACTGTTAAGGCACAAATGCTTGTAATGTGCCAGCTGCGAATTTGCCAGTGACAATCCGCCAGCTGTAGTCACTTTTTAAAAGCTATCACTTCTACAAATTTACCTGCCTCTGTTGAGTAAGTTGCACAACCTCATATTGATTCCTGTAATATACTGTATGTATTCAAAGAGCCAGTGAAGATACTTACTGAAACGTGGATATTCACTGAAAATGTTGGAGTCATTAGTCAATAATTTAAGAATGTTGAGGATTTAAAGAACTTCCAATGACTTTGATATTAATTTAATAGATTAAGTATCACATTTTCTAACTGAAAGATAGTGTAGTTAAATAACAGTCTACTCGTCATGGACACACACCAGTTTTCTCATCACTGACAATGAAGGGCTGTTTTTAGTCAGATAGATATTGGTTAGATACTTGATGTATTAGAAATGTTTAGTGGAGATAGGATGTCTAGTTAGACTGTTAAATGCTTAGGCATGCTTATGAGTTTCTACAGGGTACATCTGGTCAAGGATAACTAGAGAGAAAAGTTGATGACTGTCAGAAGACAGGGTGTTTAATATTATTATTATGACGTGTATAACTGTAGCCTTAGCCATAATATGTTCTTATGTTTAATATCATGACATGTCACTAGAGGTCGTGTGAGAATGTTTTTAGTTACACACCACTTAA